CCTACTTTGAACAGTTAAAAACACCAGGAAGATTGGGTGCCTGGTGGCTCAGTTGTTTAAGTGACTGTCTTCAGCTCAGGTCATGATCCTGGAGTCCCGGGATGGAATCCCCCATCGGGCTCCCTGCTTCTCCCTCTGACTCTCCCTCCTCTCATGCTCTCTATCATTATCTCTCTCAATAAATAAATAAAAATCTTAAAAAAAAAAAACAAACACCAGGAAGATTTAAAATGTTTATCTGGCAGTAGCCACTCTCATTAAAATTAAAACCTCTTTGTACTCTTTTAGACACTGGGCAATATACCAGACATTCACACTTCAAGAGACAGTAACAAATTTCAAGAGGAAATCATGAGCTTTCTGCTTTGCTCAAGAAGTCTGAAGTATTGGGATGCCTGGGTGGCTCAGTTGGTTAAGCGTCTGCCTTCGGCTCAGGTCATGATCCCAGGGTCCTGGGATCGAGTCCCACATTGGGCTCCCTGCTCAGCAGGGAGCCTGCGTCTCCCTCTGCCTGCCGCTCTCCCTGCTTGTGCTCTCTCTCTCTCTCTGACAAATAAATAACTTAAAAAAAAGTCTGAAGTATTTCTGAGTAGCTTACAAGTTCCACAAAGTCTGCAAAAATTCATGATATAATGGGAATTAACTTCCAGTTTCCAAAGCTAGAGCTACTGGTGTTAACTTACACTGTTCCCTCTCCTTCCCACCCTATATCTAATCCATCACAGAGACCTGTCTCCCAAGTTTGTCCCCTTCTTTCCCACATCATCTGCCTGTGCCTCAGACTACCAGACCATCATTTCCTATTTTGTTTCCTGCAACAGTTTCTTTGGTTTCCCTTGGCTCCCAGCTCTCCTCTCTATTACTCATCCTGTTCAACATGCCTGAAAATGTGCTTACTTGTTTAACCACTTCTTTATACCCTGCTTCATTCCTACAAGTAGACTAGTCATCCCAAGCCATTATTTACAGGAGACAGACTGTTAGGGACATCAGGAAGAAATATAGATGGAAGAGGCATAACAGGATACTTGAGGAAATCGAATGTACTTGCTAAACCCCAAATCTGGCACATGATCAGAGATGAGGTTTCTGTCCTGCTTTCAGATGTTGAAAGTAGTCTGAAAAATGTAATTTCAACACCAAATATGTTAGAATTTCCATGATTGATGGTAAAGGGGAAGAGGCATAGAACAAAAAACAGGAACTATCCCAGAAAAAATCTAGGCCATGTGGCTTAAGTAGGTATGAAGGACTATGGTAGGAAAGGAAAATTACAGATATACAATCTATTGGCCTAAATTGCTGTCTCATCTAGGAAAGTTTACATGGCTTCCTCGAGCAGGGGTTTTAGAATTTTTTATACTGTTACAAAACTCAGCATCCTGATACACAATGGGACTCCTAATTAAACAACTTCAGGTAATCTTGGCCATTCTATAGCATTTATGGTGTTATCCATGTCTGGGAAGTTCATGTTAGGACGACCATGCCACTGTATTGCTGCCGGTGATCCATGTAAGCCTAGGTAATAAACTCTGCTCCAGGGGCGCCTGGGTGGCTCAGTCGTTAAGCGTCTGCCTTCGGCTCAGGTCATGAACCCGGGGTCCTGGGGTTGAGCCCCCATCGGGCTCCCTGCTAAGCGGGAAGCCTGCTTCTCCCTCTCCCACTCCCCCTGCTTGTGTTCCCTCTCTTGTTGTGTCTCTCTCTGTCAAATAAATAAAATCTTTAAAAAATAAAAAATAAACTCTGCCCCACAAATGCTGAATCCTTTGAAGTTGCTGAAAGCATCTATGGGTGACATTATGATTTAGATATCCACTGGCAAGTCAAGACTTGCAAATATTTTCAAAATCAGAAGCAATGAGATATCTTAGCCACCTTTAATTCTTTTGGGAACAAGCCAGGTGGATCTAAAAACAAAATGACCCACAACTCTGTGAATATACTAAAAACCACTGAATTGTAAACTTTAAATTGGGAATGGTATGGTATGTAAATTATATCTCAATAAAGCCTTTATTTTAAAAACGAACAAACATATTTTAACCAAAATGTTAGTTTCCAGAAATGTTATATCCTAGGAACCTAGTTATTGCCCTTAAATGTTTATACTGCCGGAAAAATTTACAAAACAGAAGCCCTGATAAATTACTGTGACAAAACCATTATCATTTTAGCTATAAAGAATAAACTGAATGGTCTCTTTCCTTTCACCATAATGGGAGCTGATCTGTATCACACATCAAAATCTGCCTTTAAGCTCTGAATGACATTTTTTAAAAGGGCACTTTTCAGATTTAACCACTATGTTGAATACCATAATTATGACATGTCACTAATATATCTTTCCTTGTAATCTACTCCAGAACTTCCTTCCCTATAACCCTCTGTGAGGAAAAAAAATCCTTGTGTTTATCCACTGACTTAACTTCTAATGATTTCCCTCTTCTAATAATCACTACCCAAGCTTTTATCTCTACAATCACTCCAACCTTCCCCATGTCCCGACCCATTCCGTAATTTCTACTTATAAATACCACATCAGCTGTCTGCCTGCTGTGGAGGTAACAACAGGTTATTTATGCTCCCAGATATTCAAAGTAGGTCAAAAATATAAGAAACAGACTATGAGTCCTTTGAGGGAAAGGGCTGTGTCTTGTTCATTGTTAGAACCTCTCAATATTAAGCAGAGTACCTGGCACCCGGGAGGTGCTCAAGTAATATTTTGACCCACCATTAAGCTACAGCCCATTCACAGAAAGAATTAGTCAACAAATAGCCAAGAGATTAGAATATACTTAGGCATAAATGTATTTAGAAGGCAATTTAAGCTCAACTCACTCTTGATGTCTAAACCAGTCTGTCTTTACAATGACTAGAAGGTGAATTTTAATTCAGAGTGTGTGATGAAGCAATGATCAAAAGCCAAAACCTTGAGATTTAAAAATCACAGTATTTAAAATTTTTTTTTCTTCTCAAAAATTATCTTGGGAGAAAAAAGGCTGATCCAAGACCAAGAGCAATTTATTATCCAATCAGTCTCTAGTTAAGCAGCCTACAATTAAATTAGTCAGGCAGCTCAGGGATGGACTCCTCACTGTGCACAGTGAAGAATGGAGGGCTATACAAAGTAACTAGGGAATGTTTACAGACCTATTATCTCTTCATGGGAAAATGCATCCGATATTTCTCAGTACCTACCTCATACTTTCATTATGAGGATTAAATGAGTTAATATTTGTAAAGCACTTAAGAGTAGTACCTGGCACATAGTTAGCACTGTATCAATGTTTATTAATAAAGTAACCAAATCAGTTTTCAATTACATTCATTCATACATTAGAGATCTACAATGCCTAAGAAAATTACCAGATTTAAAGAGAAGTTCCAATTGTGCACTCTTTTAAGTCTGTGGCTGGAAAGAAAGGGGTCCTAGAGAATGTTTTATGCAAACTCCTCATCTCGTGGTTGAATTAATCCTATACCAATTTCTTGAGAAATTCACAGGTTACAAAAGCTTTCCCATCTAATTCCCAGGTTTGATCCTCACAACAGCCTTGAAAGAGATGCAGAGCAGGTATAATTAACTCCACTTACAGATATGAGACAACTGAACAAAAGAAGTTAAGTGACTCGTCCAAGGTCACACAGTAAGTGAAAAGGCCTGGGCTAGAATCCAGATCTCTCTCTCTCTTTTTTTTTTTTAAGATTTTATTTATTTATTTGCCAGAGAGATACCCAGCGAGAGGGAACACAGGCAGGGGGAGTGGGAGAGGGAGAAGCAGGCTTCCCGCTGAGCAGGGAGCCCGATGCGGGGCTCGAGGCGGGGCTCGATGCGGGGCTCGATCCCAGGACCCATGACCTGAGCCGAAGGCAGACGCTTAACCATCTGAGCCACCCAGGCACCCCTAGAATCCAGGTCTCTTGATTGCAGGTCCAGACTTCTAATAACATGCTGCAACTTGGGTCCTGGGCTTACTTGGGTCACGTTTGCAAACAATGATTCTAAGATCCTAAATGGAGATTCTGCTGCCAACACAAACTTGGAAAGTGAAGCCCATTCTGTTAACTGGAACTAAAGGTAATTAAATAGTTGGCAAAACACCTACATACAGTAGGGTTATAGTATAAAATGCCATGACGACACACATTCACCAAGCACCACACATTCACCAAACACCACACACTGCCCAAGACAAATTTTCAGAAGCCTTCAAAGGGACAGTTTTCCAAAATATTCCATTCAGAGATTAGCAGACCCAGAAAATACTGATGTCGGTATAAGAAAGAAAAGGCTGCCGCTTTCCTTAAACTAAACCCTGAAGGAAAAGGCTCGCCCCGGCGATGGTGAAGACGTGGAGCGTAACAAGGCTCTAAGGGATTACACGTAGGTAGCAAACTCCCAGGGACGAATGAGAACCGACCATCCCAGCCCGTGAATCATCTCGCATTTATCCGGCTGCATCTTCCTCAGGGGCTCACCACCCCAGGGAAGCCATCTGAAACCCGGCAGCTAAAGGTGAGAATCGACTGGTGACCGTTTGCAGGATTCCAAATAATCTCACAGAAAGGTTGGCCGGTGGTAGAAGTGGCACCGCATACCAACACAAGACGTTATTTTAAGCGCCTGTCCCTACGGGAGGGACCATCTGATCTAGCCGATCAAGCATCTCCCGCAGCCAGGATTTTTCCAAAACCAAGCCGGCGGCCAGGGCAATCCTGACACAGGCCCCCTTCCCAATCTGAAACCCGCTGAGCACGCAGCCCGGGGAGCGTGGCAGGGGCCACAGAGACCGCCGAGGGAGGCCGCCCTCCGCCACCTTCCCCGAAAGAGGAAGGCGCCTCTGCGGCAGGCGGGCCCGGCTGGGGATTTTGAAATGCTGGGGAAGGGGGTGGTGCAGCCGCCGGGCCCTCGCGCCCCCGCCCCACGCCAGCCTGACAGCTGGCGGCGCCCCGCCGCGCGGCCCCGTCCCCACTGCGCGGCCCGCGGGCCGCCTTACCTTTGTGTAGAGCTCGGACGCGGCCATGGCGGGGCCCCGCGGCGCCGACGCCCCCCCGCCCGAGCGGAGGCCGCACCTCGCCTGGGCGGCCGCCCGCGCTGACTAGGAAGCGCCCAGGCAGCCGCCGGCAGGGAGCGGGGCAGGGCCGGGCGGGGCGGGCCGCGCCAGGCTGGGCGGGGCGGGGCGGGGCGCCTCAGGTGCGGGCGGCCAGCGGGGGCCTGGCCATCACTCCCGGGCTCGCCGCGAGCAGGCGCGAGCGCTCCGCGTGCTCGGGGTCCTCGGGGTCGCCGCCGCAGCCCCTTCGGCGGCCGGTGATGCTGCTGCTGCTGCTGCTGCTGCTGCTGCCGCCGCCGCCGCCGCCCTGTGCATTGTGGGAGCGGGAGGAGGCTGCGCTTCGGCGCTACCACCGCGTCTGCTCCGGGCTCTCTCCGGCTCACGCTGCCTCCCCTCGGCCGCCGGCCCGAGCATCATCTGCCTGCCAGCCTGCGCGGCCGCCGCGTCCTCCCGCGCCGCCGAGGCCCAGAAGCCCGCCTCGACCACTCTTCCGCGGCACACCTGCCTGAGGGCGCCTCACACCCCGAACGCCCCTCTCTCCCAAGCGAGCCCTGGACCGTGCAGAATGGCCCAGCCACCGAGAGGGGGGCGATTGCTGGTGTCACTGCGTGTGTCCAGGTAAAGAACTGGGAGTCTCCAGCTGCTTTTCCTATCCTTCCGAGCATTTCTAGGGAAAGGATTTGGGAGGAGGCTTCTTCGAAGTCAATAGAACCACCTAGAACTCCAGAAGAATCCTGTTAGGAGCAGTGGTCTGGGAGCTAGGCAGTGAAAACCAGTTATCTGAGATAGAGGATCACCAAGGTCACCTGAAACACCTAGGCATCTGCCTGGGTATCGGTTCTTGAAACAAGATGGCCCCAGGAGGCAGCCCACGCGCCTACCTCTCCTCGGCCTATGTGTTTGCAAAGGTATACCACTACCCTTCTGCCGCAGTCCCCTGCCTTCTCCTGTTCCCCTAGTGATTATCGATTCCATGGTGCCCGCCAGAAGCTATCCAGATGCCACCTGAAAATTGCAGGGGGCTTTTGTGGAAAGTCCATACTGCAAATGAATTCTGTATCAAAAGGTAAAAAGATGGGGCGCCTGGGTGGCTCAGTCGGTTAAGCCTTCGGCTCAGGTCATGATCTCAGGGTCCTGGGATCCAGCCAAGCAGTGGGCTCCCTTCTCAGTGGGGAGTCTGCTTCTCCCTCTCCCTCTGCCCCTCCCCCTCATACCTGTCCCCCCTGCTCATGCTCTCTAATAAATAAATAAAATCTTAAAAAAAGAAAAGGTCAAAGGAGTCTCAAGAGTGGCATTCATGGGGCGCCTGGGTGGCTCAGTCGTTAAGCGTCTGCCTTCGGCTCAGGTCGGGATCGAGCCCCACATCGGGCTCCCTGCTCGCCAGGAAGACTATTTCTCCCTCTCCCACTCCCTCTGCTTGTGTTCCCTCTCTCACTGTGTCTCTGTCAAACAAATAAAATCTTAAAAAAAAAAAAAAAAAAGAGTGGCATTCAATCTGCTCACCCTTACCCTTGCACATCAAGAGCAAGAATGTGGTCTTTCCACCCCTGTCCCCATACAGTCTTCACCTTCTACCTGCTCTGCACTCACCACACTTTCACTCCTGGTTGACTAATCTCCATATTTTTTTCATCCTAACCTCTTATTTCTTTAAACTCTTATGTGCCCGTCCTGGCAATCTAGGATGGTTTCTACCAAGACCACGTCTCAAGGCTGGCCCCTTGGTTGTGTGTGTATCCTGCATGTGTATGTGAAGGAAGACCATTGCCATGGGGGGTGGGGGCACTTGGGACCAGTCCTCATTCCCTGGAATTCAAGCCTGTCCTTCCCTTGCTCACTGCCCACAATCCCCTCACAGATGCCATAGGTATTGGCTACAGAGTCCAAAGACTGTTCCCTCCAATTCTAAAATCACATCCCTTTCATGTTTTGGGGTCCTACCCTTTCTTTGTCCAGACATAAAAAGGGAAAATGTGCCACTATGACCAGTACAACAAGAAGGACACTGGATTAGATTTAGGAGGCTTGAATTCCACCCCTTATCATTTCTTCATGCCTTGTGTAAGGTGGTAACCACTGCTTTCTCACCCTCAGATAATTCTTACCTCTCAGGACTGTTGGGAAATGCCGATGAAGGAGCTCAGGGCATACACCCCAGGGTATGCTGCTTTGGCATAGAGTTTGGAGGATTTGAAAAACAGCAAATACAAGAAAAAAAACACTCTGACTTTCCTTCTTTTTCTTAAAAGCAGGAAATGAAATTCTGTTATGAAAGATGTCCTCCCTATACCAGAAGGAAAGTAACATTCTTCTCATCAAGGAGAAGCTGAGACCAAGAGAATTCTGCACCAACAGACCTTTGCTAAAATAATTCTTATCTTGGGTCGCCTGGGTGGCTCAGTCGTTAAGCGTCTGCCTTCGGCTCAGGTCCTGATCCCAGGGTCCTGGGATCGAGCCCCATATTGGGCTCCCTGCTCCGCGGGAAGCCTGCTTCTCCCTCTCTCACGCCCCCTGCTTGTACTTCCTCTCTCGCTATCTCTCTTGGTCAAATAAATAAATAAAAATCTTTTAAAAAAAAATAATAATAATAATTCTTATCTTCCCTTCACCTGTCCACATAGTTTAGTCACTTTTCCACAATTGCCTCTCTTTGACCCAATGCAAAAGCAAGCAGGTTTTGTCATTTCTTTGGGTCTTCATTTCATTATGAATGCTCCTGTGTCACATAAAATAATATAAATATATATGTTCCTTCTCCTTTTAATCTATCTTTATCAGTTTAATTTTCAGACCCAGCCAGGGATCTTAAGAGGGTTGAGGAAAACTTTTTCTTCCCCTATATGGACAAAAAACTAAAAAACTAAGAAACTAAAAAAAGGGTCTTATAGATATGAATCTTTTTTTTTTTTTTTTGGACAGGTAGAAAAAGAAACTAGAATTATTGTCTTCTAATTCCTGAACACATGCATTCAACCACTCAAATTTTGGGGGCCACAGGAGAAAGGTAGTGGGTATGAGGAAGGGGAGAAGGAGCCTCTACCCGTGACATGACTTTACCTCATTCAGAAAAAGAATAGACTTAAAAGACAAAAAAAAGCAACAAGGAACCCTAATGGCTGGCCTCCCTTGCTTAACCATGTATATTCACAGTCCCAAGCACTTTGTCATTAATGAAGTATGGAAACCAGCAATAGTTACAACTTTCCAGGATTTAGGATTCCCCCCTCCCAAAGTATAGCCAAATGTCATTGTATATTTTAAGTCAATAAAGTTCTCAATTGTCACTTTATAATTGGGAACATTTTCATGTAGTTTGTCTTCAAGTAAAAACAATGCCCAAATTAATGTGAAAAATCCCTCTCCTCCAAAACATTCCTGAGTATTACTTTTTGCAACAAATATTGAGAGCTACCATGTGTGAGAAACTGTTCTGCATACTGAGGATTTATGAATGCACAACACAAAATCTCTGACCTCATGGAGCTTACATTCTAATCAGGGAGACAATTACAAAGGTAGAAGGTAAGGTGGCAAGTATTCATTTGCTGGGGCTGCCATAATAAGGTACCACACACTATGACTTTAAACTGTAATGGGCTGTATGGCCTGGAGGCTAGCAGTCTCAGATCAAAGTGTTGCAGTGTTGGTTCCTTCTCGAAGCTGGGAGGGAGACTCTGTTCCAGGTCTCTCTCCTGCATCCTAGTTGTTTGCTAACAATCTTTGGCATTCATTGGATTCTGCTGCCCGCTTCAGTCTCAGGCTTCATCTTCCCTGGCATTCTCCCTCTGTGCATGTGTGTCTGTGTGTACATTTCACCTTTTTATAAGGATACAGTCATGCTGGACTAGAGTCCACCTTAATGACCTCATCATAACATGATCATCTACAAAGACCTTATCTCCAGTTAAGGTTTCATTCACAGGTACTGGGGGTAGGAAGGACTTAAGCATCTTTTGGGGCTGAAGAGGGGGGACACAATTCAACCCATAACTGTGGGCAATGGAGAAAAACTAAAGAGGGAAGACAGCAATGTCAGCAATAGTAGGGTGGTCCTTGCTTTATTAAAATTGAAAAAATAACTTTATGGAGGGCCTATTTTGTGTCGGCACTTAAGATAATAAAGATAGAAATGAATGAAATATGGTCCTTGACCTGGGAGAGCTCACTGTAACGAGTAGCTGCAGGAGTAGGGGAAGGGACAGTCCATGCTGCATGGCCATTAGTAATTCTAATTCTGTAAGATTAGCCCAATTCTAGAGGCAGAGGCAAAGCACTGTTCCTGGTTAATTAGTTGGCATTTACATATCCTAATATTTAGTATTTCAGAGGATTAGACACTGGGCAAGAGTAACATTTGAGTGGGTGGGGAAGAACCCTAAATAGTTCACTGAAAGATCTAAATAATGCTATATATGGGAGGCCATTTATTATCAAAAGATATATAAAGGAACAGCATGAGGGAACAATGCTATGAAGCAGAAAAGCCAAAGTTAAGAACAGAGTAAGACTGGTGCTCCTGGGATGGCTCAGTCCAGTAAGCAACTGACTTTTGGTTTGGGCTCAGGTCATGATCTCAGGGTTGTGAGGTCGAGGTCCACACTGGGCTCTGTGCTGAGCTTCTCTCTCCCTCTCCCACTGCCCATCCCAGCCTCTCTCTCTCTCAAATAAATAAATCCATCTTAAAAAAAAAAAGGGATAGAGTAAGACTGACCTAAAAGACTGCCAGTTTACCTAGCTCCCTCCTACCTCTGAGTTTAGGTCTAGCCATACTTTAAGGCTCCTAGGGCAAGGATTAAAAGTATAGTCCTTAACTCAAAAAGGTACAATTATTTTTATTCCCAGTACCTATTACTCTAATTCTAGATTCTAATCTTGTGTGTCCTAAAATATCTGTGTGATCTCTGGCCCTCTGTTCCCAGTCTTCTGCCTGTGTCCTAACTACCAGCTACTTGACGGGTCTCTGCATCTCTATGCCTGGTTGTTTGGTATCTGATTCCCCCATCAGTTGATGTTCTGGATCATGAAATGCTTTCTGCCTATATCCATAGCACTCACCTGCTTTATATTGCCCTGATCTTCCTGAATTACTTGAGTTTAAGTACTTACTAGCCACTCGCATCCTATACCTTCAACAACCAGACACACAGTTAGAACTTCCATGTGGTAGTTGGTGGAAGGTTCTCAGTAATGAAAATGACTCAGATTCAAATGACCTTGATTCT